CTGGGGCAACGATCACTATTGCAAGCAACAGCCAACGTGGCTGGACATGCAACGCTAGATAGTTTTGGAGCTCTACATGGGCGCTTGGTCGTGCTTGGGCCGGCACGGCACGAGCACGCTTCAGGCCCATTTATTTTGTGTCGTGCTTAACACGGCTCGTTAGTTTTCGTGCCGTGCCATGCAAGCCCATTTATTACTTTTGCTAGGCCCGGCCCAGGCCCAAGCACGACTTGAATCGTGTCGTGCCTATTCGTGCTCGTGCCGTGCTCATATTTGTGTTAACGATAATGAAGAAATTAAAAGAAGGAATGAAAAGGATGGAGAAAATTGGATGGAGAATGAAAATATTTTTTTCGAGAATGATGAAGAATGAAAGTATTAACCGAGAATGTTTGAGAAATGTAACAACAAAGGGGAAAAGAAAATGGGAAGTATAACGAGTGTGAAGTTACTTTGTTTAATTATTCGTCCGTTTTTTTGTTACGGTAGTAATTATGTATACATCTTTATTATCACTTCTAACAACAACAGATAATTATTTTTGCTATAGTTTGCAATATTTGAACATATTGTTCTTTTTATATTTAGTTTTTATCAAATTAATATATTTTTTTTGTGCTATGTCCATTCTTATACTCAATAAGGTTCTAAAAATATTTGGCCCGGCATGGCCCATTTACGAACCGTGCCGTGCCCGTGCTCGTGCTTGTGCCCATGAAGTTTAGACCTGGTACGGCCTGTAAAGAATTCGTGCTCGTCCGGGCTGGCCCATATATTTTATGTCCGTACACGTGCCGGACTCTAACCGTGCCATGCCGTGTGAGCCCGTGGGTGGCCCGGCCCGGTGCCCACGTACAATTGGAGCCCTCGAAAACCTCCTGCCGCCAGATGCGGGCCGCTGTGGTCCTTCAGTGGACCTGATCGAGATAGGCATCCCAAATGTCACCTCCTTCAGCTGGGCTTGGCCCAAGGTTGAAAACGAATAGTGGGTTTTACTTAAGTCAGGGCCCCCACCGGCAATGACACAAATTATGGCCGAGACTTAGTAGAATGGTCCTCGCACGACTTTCGTCCAATTTGCTATGCAATGACAGATTTTTTTTTTTTAAATTTATTTATGAATTGCAATGACAGAATTTGGATATGCATTGTCAATGACTCAATATGAAGAACACATTTTGATATTTTCCTCCACCACCGATATTACAACTTGTGGATTCAGATAATAAAATGACATTTTTTTCTTCTCACTATTAGTATATACTTTTTACTAATTATAGGTAAGGAAAACCTAAAAAATCCATCTCCCTCTCCTTTGCGTTATGAATAAATTATTTGAATATTATTATTATGTTATTTATATATTTTGAAATAACATAAATCCAATTTCAACTGCTACTTCGAGTCTTCATGACATTTATCACAAATTGTTGTCAAGGGCTCGGTCCGGTCAACTCATGAGAACTGTGATCCAATAGCGAAAGACATTCTAAAACCAAGGACCTGACCCAAAGTGCATTCGGTCCGGTTTGGTACGATACAAATATTAATTTGGTTCATTTTTCTTCCGTATTTATAAAATTCATGACCGTTACGAATTATATTCAATTTGATATGATCCAATCTCAACATCGATTTAGCCCGATACAGGCCCGACACAGACCAACCCATTCCACGCCTATTCATGGTGTCTTTGTGCATGTTATTGCCGCCCCTCCCTGTCCTTAAAACAGTCGAGTCAGCAGCGGCCTAATAAGAAATTAGGCACACGAGCTTGAGGTCGAGATTGCTTGTCCACAGCATTTAGGGGCCGCCGATCTGCCTGGCTACAAATTAACATAGTTATCCAACTGTCAGCAGCAACCCAATGACATGTGTTCTTATTACTCAACTTGCGGCCGTCTAGTGACCTCAGCCAACTGCGCACACAGTATTTTGTTTGGCCCATCCTGCAATTGGACATTTGTTGCAGTTTGTGGCCAATACTTGGTGCCGCGATAACGCGAGAGTGTGACAATTTTGACCTTATTTTGGTGAAGCAAGTGTATGATTGTTTTCTGGTTTTAAATAATGCTATGCTAAGCAATTTTCTTGAGTTTTAGGCAGATGGTTCAGCATTACCTTCTTGGAAATTGACGTTTGGAATGAAATTACATGTCAAATGCACGATAACAATTATGAGCCTGCCAAAAGAGTACACCTTAAACACATCAAACTAATAAAACAAAGTTGAGGGTCCTTTTTGCATTGTTTCCGAAGAAATTAAGATAAAGGGTTACATGAGACTCCTTAACTAATAATTAGCCACAACTTGTAATCCATTTGGAACCTCTGTATTTCACTTCATCAAATGTTTATTTTATTTTTCGTCTCAAGTTTGTTATTCATGGGTTATGAATTATAATTCGAGTCCTTGGTGCGCGGATCAAAACATTTGAGGGACAATTTTGCATGTGGAATCATCACTGAGGCTAGGTTGATCGGATTTTACATGGTCAGAAACTGACATGAGAAATGAGATTAGATGGATAGCTTTGCAAACATATTTATTTGTCGTGCTTGAACTTATTCAACATGTCAACCACACTCATGAACCCTACATCTACATTGCTATGTTTTGTCATTAGATTTTTTTTCTTCTAACTTTTAAGCCAAATAGACTAGACCGAGCTGAGATTCCTGTTATACGATTTTGTTGACATAGAAAAAAAAAAACCTCGAGTGAGTTGGTAGAGTTGCATAGAGTTCTTGATAAAATACGATATATTAAATGAGAAGAAATAATGGACATCCTCTACTTCACATGTTCAAGAAGTCTTTGTATATAGATGAAGGATACTATGTCCCTTCAATTGCCTTTCGTTGAGGGTAGTTTGGATGAATTAATTATCAAATTGGTATTTTTATAGTCAAATAATTTATTGATTGTTCTTTGATGTTTCAGTATTATTTCTATTGTATTTAGGTTAAAGTATCTCGTTTGGTTGAATTATTAATATGTAGTATTTGAAATAATTCATTTTGAGTTATTTACAAACAACTCATGAAGCAAATAAATCCTATTAGGGGTCGTTTGCTTGATGGATTTGGGTCATGGATTTGGGACTCAAATCCCAAGCATGATGGATTTTAGCCAAGTCCATTGTTTGTTTTCAGGTGTTAAATCCGTGGGGTCCACGGATTTATTCCCTTTTTTGGATCCAAATCCGTGGACCCCACGGACTTGTAAATCCCACATATTGGGGTGAGATTTGTAAATCCTTGATGGCTAGTTATATTTATAGCAAATTCATCATAATTATATCAACAAATCTATCATGCAAACAATAGACTCTTCAAATCCATGATGGTACAAATCCCTCATAAATCCAAAGATTTTTTTGAGCCAAAATCCTCATTTTTCAAATCCAACAAAGAAACGACCCTTAGAGCATCCCCAACGGTGGTAATGGGTTGGATTGCAATCCTAGGTGGCATTGGGATGAAAGTGGAAATATGGGTGGCATTGTTGTGGAGATGTTTTCATCATGTGCAAATTTGCACACCATGCAAGTGATGATGCAATTGAAAGCTGGCCCACTTCTTGTACTTTTTTTTGTTCTTTCCTTCTTTCTTTTCTTTTTCTTTCTTTCTAGTTTCTGCAACCAAAAGTTGCATATTTCATTTGTCTTTTCTATTTGTTTTGCATTTATCTTGTTCCATTCATTTCTATCATACATATATGTAATTATACATTTAGTTCATGGTTAATATGGTTAATAAGATTATTAATAGGATTAAAACTTCAAGATTCACATATATTTCAAGATAATACATCCATACAGTACAAATCGACGAAGTGAACTTCAATGTATCCATGCCAACAGTTTCTCAATCTCGTCTCCCTGAATATGAAGAGTATCTTCGAAACAATGCAAGAATTCGTAATCGGTCAACAAATAGCCGACTTCAAGCTAATTTGATAGAAGAGATATGGAGTCGATTTGGTGACGAGGAAGAAGATAATTAATCTAGTATTGATTTTAGCTTTATTGATTTTAAGATATGTGCTTTGTGTATTTGTGTTGTTTAAATATTGTATTTTTGTTATTAATATAAAATTGGTGCAATTATCATTATAAAAAAAATTGGTGCAATTATTGGGCCAAAATGTAATTTCTCGGTCTTGTTAATTTAATTATCTGAATTTTTTCAATTTCAACTCAAAGTTAAATTATATTTATTGATATTAATTAATAATATAATAATTTACTAATTTTAGTTGAAAAAGCATTAAAATATTTTAGTAAAATAATGTAAGTAATATGAATATAGAATTGTAGTAAAATTAAGTAGGACCCACGATGCAATTGCATGTGAATGGCATTGATGTATATGGTATGAAAGTGAGGAGTGAGTTAGTTGTTAAAGTGATGACTTCTCTCTCTAACTTTCCTCTCTCTTCCTTTACTCTCTACTCTCTCCTTGAGATCAGCCACATCCAAAATGGATCTGAATGCAATCTTCTAATAAGACACATCCGTAATGGATCATTCTACTCACCTCTTGATTCCCAAATCACACCCGCAATTACTGCTAGCTCTTCGTACCCACTCCTTCCGCCTTGCATTGAAACTGGAAATCACCATAATGGCTACTGGAAGAGCCATAGAGCCCCAAAATGGAGTAAATGCACAATCCACTGCTCAGAACTTTCTGGCAAAGAAGGGATGGATATCTACTCCATATTTATTGATTACACAAAGCTCATTACTAACTGGAAGGAAAGGTGGGTATTCAGTATTAGTCCACATCTTATAATGGGATGGAACAACTCGGCTATACACAGAGGAGGAATATACATTGATGTCCAGATCTTCTACTCAATCCCTCCTACCTATGCGATCTCTCTGCTGGAACAATTTACTTCCAAGACAACTACTTTATTTTGGCAGAGTTACCTCGCCCATCATACATGCAGCCCAGCTTATATAATCCTTAAACTGCGGTGGAAAGCTCCTTATCCCAGTCCAAACAAAAACATACCTTCTGGAAAATTTCTCATCTCTGCCTCTTTCTGGGAAATCATGGCTGACCAAGAAATCACCGAAATTCTTCAAAAAACAGAATCCCTTGGAATCTCTGACTCTATCCTCCGTTTCAAACCCCAAAAAGAGTGGTATCGAGAAAAAACTTTGTGAGATTCTGGTGGGAAAATTGATCTCTGAAAAGAAATACTCAGCTGGAACCATGGAACTCACCTTGAGTAGAAACTGGAGAGAGATCAAGCAACCCTCCGTGGTGGAGCTGGGCACCAACACTTTCAGCATCTCTTTCAAATCAGGGGAAGATAAACAGAAGATCTGGGAATCGCGCCCTTGGAAGATCGCTGATGCTCTTCTAGTTCTCATTGACTGGAAAGGAAAAGGCAAAATCAAAATTGAAGAACTCAACTTCAACAAGACCATCATCTGGGTTCAAATCCATAACTTTCCAGGTGAACTCAGATCTGAAGAAAACGTAGCCACCCCTCTAAACGAAATATTCAAAGAAATCATTAGAGGAGATGAGATGGGAGTTGCAGAAGGAAAATATGTAAGCTTCATCAGGGTCTTGGTCGGCATAGATCTATCTGAGCCCCTTGCTCCGGGCTTCTTCCTTCAAGATGATGCCCCCCCTGACATTTGGGTCGAGTTTAAATACGAGCGGCTTCCGGCAAATTTCTGCTACTCCTGCGGCAGAATCGGCCACTCCCAACTGATGTGCAACCACCCAGAGGAAAGAGTTGAAGGGAGGTATGGAGAATGGACTCGTGCTGGCCACCACTCTCCGCCATCTCCCCTATCTTGTACCCCTGTGTTGACGCCGGGCACGGCAGAAAGTAAAACCGGCGATAACTTTTCCTCTTCCGGCGACCGCTCGGTTGGACGACTCATGGACGGGAGACTATCCGGTGGACGGGGTCCCCGAGGCAAAGGAAGAAGAGAGGAAGCAGATGTCAGAACCAAGACCCATCTTCACATGGGTACAACGGCTAGATTGCCTGACTCGAGGAAGGAAACTGATGGACCTCCGCCGGGTTTCGGGCTTCCTAGACCCACTGGTGCTGCAGACCAACTTTTACGGATGAAAGAGGCAGACGATTGCTCTCCTTACCAACCTAGAAAGCTCTCTTTTGGAAAAGATCAAACTGACGAAGAAGGTGGGTGCACGCAGAATCAAAGGGAGGCAGGGCAAGGCTCTGGCTCTAGGGTTGATGTAGGTATGGGAATGGGCTTCTCCCCCCCAAGCCCATATCCGAACCTCCTCAACCCTCTGATGGGCCAACAAAGCCTATTTCCAAGCCCAAACTACCTCAACATGTACCAGGAAAACATGTTTCTCAACCAAGCCCAACTCCCCTTTCTGATGTGGGATAACAATCAAAATGAAGCCCAATTCCTAAGCCCTTGGGGCCTAAAGAGTGATCAGCCCAGGAAAAAGATCAAAGTTACAAGGAAGAGGAAAAATGGCGGCAGTACACTGGAAGTTGAGGGGCAATATGGAAGTCAAGCTGCTCCGAGGGAATTCACTGAAGAAGAAGATGGAACTGGATATTCTGAGGAAATGGTGGCTGAACCAAAGCCATCAGGGCATCCATGACTACAATCTGCTGGAACTGTCGAGGATTCGGGTCCGACTCGGCAGTTGACTATCTTAGGGACTTGCATCGATCATTCAAGCCAATGATCATTTTCCTTATGGAGACTAAGCAGCCTGAAAATGAAATGGAGAAAGAAAGAAGAAGGGCTAGATATGCTAACAAATGGTACTGCAATCCTCAGGGTAGTAGAGGAGGGTTAGCCCTTTGGTGGGTTAAGGGTCTAGAAATTGATGTTTTAGATTCCTCGGATTTTTTTGTTCATGCTTTTGTCAAGTTTAAGGGTGGGTTCTTTGTAACTTTCCTCCATGCCCCTAATGACTCTATTGAGAGAAGGGCTTTTTGGGAGGAAATTAGTAGTCTCAAACCACCTAATGATGATCCTTGGATTCTGTTGGGTGATTATAATGCGGTATTAAACGAAGTTGAGAAGGAAGGCGGCAATCCTCCAAGACGCAACTCTACCGAACCTTTCAAAGAGTTCGTCTTCAACAATGATCTTATTGACATCGATTTCAAAGGACCGAGATTTACATGGTCCAACATGCAACAAGGGCTTAGGAGAATCCTGGTCAGACTTGATCGTGGTCTTTGCTCTCTTTCTTGGAGGGAGACTTTCAACAAAGCGATCATTTTTAATGAACCTATGGTGGGATCGGATCACTGCCCTTTGAGACTCGAAATTTTGGGACTTCACAACTCTAAGAGAGCTACCTTCAGATTCGATCATAGGTGGTTCAACTATGGGGAGTGCGAAGACATCATTAGAAGAGTTTGGGAGAGAGGAGGAAATCACCAATCCATGTTAACCAATTGTACCCGTGAGCTTGTTATCTGGAGCAAGGCTAATGTCAATAATGCGGCATTGAGAATCAGGGCTATTGAGGAGAGACTGAAAGTCATTCTGGAATGGACTCGCCTTCAACAATACGCCGAGGAAGAAAAGTTGTTGAAGCTCGAGCTTACCAAACTTTCGGTTGAGGAGGAGATTTTTTGGAGACAACGATCTAGAATTCCATGGCTACGAGAGGGAGACAGCAATACGCGGTTTTTCCACAACTCAACTATTCAAAGAAGCCTCAGAAACAATTTTGCTAAACTGTTGGATGAAGGCAATAACTGGATTGAAGACAAAGACCTCCTATAGAATCATGTTGTACTTTTCTACAAGGATCTATTCAAGAAGAGTAACGAGAGGTTCAATATCAGCTTAATACATGAGATCCCTTGCCTGGTGGATGATCAAATCAACCAGTCGCTTTGTAAGCCAGTTGAAGACTTGGAGATCAAGGAGGCTGTCTTTGAGTTGGGATCGTGCAAGGCGCCAGGGCCCGATGGATTTCCGGGATTGTTCTACAAGCGCTATTGGGCCACGATTGGACAACAGTTGTGTGAAGAAGTCAAAAACTTCTTCCTGGAGGGGAAGATGGCTCAAGGTTGGAATGATACTCATCTAATCCTTACCCCAAAGGTTCTTAACCCAGAAAGAATTTCACAGTTCAGACCGATTAGTTGCTGCAACTTCAGATATAAGGTGGTTTCTAAGATCATGACATCCCGTCTTAAGGAATGGATACCAAAACTTGTGTCTGAAATGCAATCGGCTTTCATGGGCGGTAGAGCTATCCAGGACAACATCATTATTGTCCATGAGGTGTTGCACCATTTCAAAACTCGCCCGAAAGGTGGGAAGTGGGATATGATGATGAAGCTAGACATGAAGAAAGCTTTCGATATGGTTGACTGGGACTGTCTTGATGAAATATTGAAAGCTATGGGCTTCTCTCACATTTGGTGCTCTTGGGTCAAGGAGTGCATCACCTCTGTGAGATTTTCGGTTATGTTCAATGGCAACCCTTCCCCTTTCTTCATGCCCTCCAGAGGCATTCGTCAGGGAGATCCCCTTTCCCCTCTTCTTTTCATTCTCTTAACTAATGCCTTATCCTTCCTCATTAACAAGAATGTTGATCGCGGTAATATTCAAGGTATTACCCTGTCTCCTTCTTGCCCTAAGCTCACCCATGTGTTGTTCGCAGATGATACCATTTTATTTGGGAAAGCCTCAATGTCGGAAGCTATCATTATCAAAAAAGTCATTGAGGACTACGGTAGTATGACGGGGCAGGTGATCAACAACGACAAATCCGCTATTACTTTCAGTTCCAATGTCCCTGAGGCCCTTAAGACTCTTATTTCCGAGTTCATGGGCATCCCTCGCGCTGATGGAATGGGAAAGTACCTTGGAGTCCCGACTGAATGGGAGAGGTCGAAAAAAGAAGTCTTTGCTGGCTTGATTGCTCGTATGGAAGGTCTGGGTCAATCATGGAAGAGCCTTGCCCTTTCTCAGGCAGGCAAAGAGACTCTCCTCAAGGCAGTGTATCAGAGCTATCCTACCTACCTAATGTCATGCTTTCTCATCCCCAAAGGCACAACTAAAGTCATGGATGCTAGATTGAGGGCTTTTTTCTGGGGAGGAAATATGGACAAAGGATCAATTCACTGGAGAAAAGGGAGTGTCCTTACGGCGGCTAAACAAGAAGGAGGAATGGGATTCAAAGACTTCCACCAATTCAACCTTGCTCTCCTTGCCAAACAAGGATGGAGAATTATCAATGGTGGAGATGAAACCTGGGTACGCCTCCTCAAAGGCCTTTATTTCCCTAACTCCGACTTTATGAATGCAGGAAAAGGCAGGAAACCCTCTTGGATCTGGTCCAGCATTTGCGAAGCCAAAGAGATCCTTAAGCTTGGGGCTAGGAAAAACATGGGAAATGGGAGGAACATTGACATCGATAAGGACCCCTGGATTCCAAGCCTCCCAGGTTTTAGACTTCAACCCAATCAAAGACAACAACTAAAAGTCTTCGAATGGGTTATGAATGGTGGAAGTGAATGGAACCTGGACCTCGTGGAGCAATCTTGCCTCCCAGAAGAAGTGGAAGCTATTAAGAGAATCCCTATTGGTTTGGCTAACTGTGAGGACAAGTGGGTCTGGCATCCTGAGAAGTCTGGTACTTTTTCAGTCAAGTCTGCCTATCACCTTTTCAGAATCAATGAACGCACCAGGACAGGCTCAGAGGACCCAAACCACCCTGATTGCACATCTAAAGCCTGGAAATGGCTCTGGAGCCTATCCTTGCCTCCTAAGTTTCGGAGCTTTGTGTGGCGCATCACCAGAAATGCCATGGCTACTAATAGGAATCTTTGGTTCAGGAAGGTGATTGCCTCGCCTGTTTGCACCCTTTGTGAGGGGGAGATTGAAGATCTGTGGCATAGCTTCTTTGGTTGCCCTCACTCTTCGCTCATCTGGCAAAGAAGCTTCGTCGGCCTCTCTCTTCCCTCTCCCTCTCAGCCTTATCCTTATGTGGCTTTTCCATCTAAAAGATGTGATCGCCCTCAGCTCAGTGGTTGCTATTATTGCCAGCCTGTGGGCAATTTGGACCGCCCACAATGGTTGGGTCTTCAGTGGTGTCCGACCTCTCCACCATTCCACTTTATCCAAGGCTCTCGCTGACTTCAATGATTGGAATGGTCGTCTCCCACCACTGCCCGCCTCCACCCTTACCCAGCCTCCCCCATCCCGTTCAAGCATTGATCCACCGCCTTCCCCTCTCCAACAGGAGATCCACTGTGATGGAGCTTTCGTCTCGGAATCACAGGTGGCGGCTTATGGTGTTGTCTTCCGCAATCACCATGGACAAGTAATTGACGGAAAGGCTGGGACTTTATTTTGTTCTTCAGCGATTGTGGCTGAAGCTCATGCCTTGTTGACTGCTCTTCGTATGGCCGAAGACTCGGGTCTACCGTCCGTGATCTTCTCTGATTGTCAGATCATCATCAACATCTTGCTAGGACGAAGTAGATCCTGGCCTTGGCAAGTGATGGCATGGATTCATTCTATGAAGCAGATCCTTGCGCTTAATGCCCGCATTACTGTGGCTTTTACTCATCGTAGATACAACAAATGTGCTGACTGGGTTGCTAAAGAAGCTAGGATTGGATCTCTCCCTCCAGAGTGGATTCAGATTCTAGACTTGATCTCACCTCTGTTGTAATAGGCCGAGCTTGTACCTCAATCGTTTTGGAATGAAATCTACCAATTGTCAAAAAAAAAGTTAGTTGTTAAAGTTGTTGAAGTGACAATAGGGACCACACTTGAAATTGCATAAGAATTGCATTGTTGAGGATGGTCTTAAGACTTTTAACCCACAAAAACCTAGTATTACCTAACTTACCAGAAAATCCAATTAAATTGAGCCATGTGGCAAGCTCCCATTGGAGAAGAGAACCGTCAAACTTTTACCGGGCCACCCACCTTCCTGGGAGATCTCGTTTTGTCTCTCTAGTCTCTACAGTAGGGCAAAATGGAGAAGCGCAGAGAACAAAGATGAAAATTTGCAACTGGCCATGAACAAATTCCAGATAAAATTTCTGTCCGTTTCTTATCGCTTCCTAGCGACCAAACACCCCGCCGAGAAGAAAAAGTTTTCACTTGTTTCTCACTACTACGCAAACGACCAAATCACCCGCCAGATAAGAGATTCCCACTACCCTTTTCTCTCCCCCCGCCAGATCATTCACCACCACCACGATACAATAATGCCGTCGTCCCAAATCCTCCCCGTCACCACAATCCACCACCACCATAAATCCCCCAAAACTTGGGGGAATTCTTCCTCCCCGCCAATTGCAGAGACTTCATTGTCGATCAAAGAAGAGGAAAGTGTGAATCAGATGGTGATGAATCTAGTCATCGACGACCCTTCAACCCGGCTCCTGATTTCTTCCCCGCCGCTGTTTTCTTCCTCCGAAGAGATCGCCGCCTCCCACAAGAAGCCCCTGCTGTCGCGGAATGCTAGCTTCTCAGGTATTTCTACTGCCAGAAGTAGTACTAGTAGTAGTAGTGGTAGCGAAGGATTCGGCAAGTTTTATGACCACAGCAAGAAGAGGCGTCGTCGGACGGCTAGTGAAACGTGTCTGCTTTCCTCGATTGTTTGTTCAGATGGTGGTGTTGGTGGTGGGGCGGGGGATGAAGGGGCCGGCCGGCAGCAGTCGTTGAGCCGTGAAGTGGGTCATGCCGCCGCCGAGACGTTTCTGCTTACCAGATTGAGTTTGCAGCTCTTGACTTATCTTGGGTACCCTACCTTTTTCGTTTTTTGAATTCTCTCTTTGTGGGTTTGAACTGCTTTCTTCCAAATGGCGTTTCAACTGCAATTACGGTTGCTGAGCGTTTCTGTTTATTCAGGGTAGGCTATAGATGGGTTATGAGATTTGTTGCTCTTGGCTTCTACTCATTGATGCTTATGCCGGGTTTCATTCAAGGTTTGTGATTCCCACACTGATTTCCTTCTTGGTTTGGCTTTCCTACTAATGTCAAGTTTACATCCAGCATTGAAGCTTCTATCTTTGTCTGCAGTTGGATATTATTATTTCTTCTCCAAGCAAGTGATCAGAAGTGTAGTTTATGGCGATAAACCACGAAATAGGTAGGCCCCGGTAATTGATTCTTATGCATAATGGTGCTGACATGATCTGCATCAATGAATAATTTATGAATTTTTCATGCAGGATTGATCTGTATATACCGAAAAATAGCGATGGGCCAAAGCCGGTTGTTGCGTTTGTAACTGGTGGTGCTTGGATAATTGGGTGAGTAGTGTCTGGAGCCGTCTGCAGCTGATTTGCGATGCACCAATTATAATTTGCTGAGCTCTATGTTCTTGCCTCATCCATGTTTGCTTAGAGAATGCTTAGAGAAACTTTGGTATTGCTGCTGCAGGTACAAAGCCTGGGGTTCCCTGCTTGGATGGCAATTATCGGAAAGAGACATCATAGTGGCTTGCATAGATTATAGGTGAAAGGATTGTTTGGTATCCTACTTTGGCCGCCTTGTATCAGTATCAATATGCTTCTCATGCCATGTGAATGACTACTCATCCATATACGAACTCTCTTGTTCATGGTTACAGGAACTTCCCTCAGGGAACTATGAGCGACATGGTGCAGGATGCCTGTCAAGGCATCTCATTTGTATGTGAAAAGATAGCCGAATATGGAGGTGATCCTAGTAGGTAATATAGCATCTTCCCATTATCTTCTCTATTTTTCTTTTTGAAATTTCTTTGTTTCACTTAACTTCCTGGTCATTGATCCCACTGGTTTCAATTGCTGTAGGATATATTTGATGGGTCAATCAGCTGGTGCACACATAGCTAGTTGTGCCCTTGTTGAGCAAGCAATTAAAGAAGCTGGTGAAGGGGAGAATGTTTCTTGGAGTGTTTCTCAGATCAAGGCCTACTTTGGTTTATCAGGAGGGTATGAAGTGAACGAATTTCAGCTAAACTTAATAGATCCTTTCTTACTCATGTTTACTGATAACCTCTGCAAAACAGGTACAACTTATTTAACCTGGTGGATTACTTCCACAGTCGGGGTCTGTATCGATCCATATTTTTAAGGTAGGTGTTGTGTTCTTTTATACCTTGTAGTCAACCTTCAATTTTTGCTTGTTCTGATTGGCTCGGCTAGTGCAGCATAATGGAAGGTGAAGAGTCTTTAAGAAGGTTTTCTCCTGAAGTACTAGCCCAGGATCCAAGCTTGAAAAATGCCATCTCTCTGCTGCCTCCAGTTGTTCTTTTCCATGGCACTGCAGATTATTCAATCCCCGCAGAGGCCAGGTGAGAATCTCACTCACGCAGTCACACTCTTGATATGATCAATGGGTGGTTCTGTTGCTCGTATAAATACATACATGCATACATACATACTAAAAAGCCTTCAAATTCTGCTGCAGCACTAGTTTTGCCGAAACACTGAAGGCAGCTGGAGTGAGGGCCGAGGCAATTACATACGAAGGCAAGACTCATACCGATTTATTTCTTCAGGATCCAATGAGAGGTGGGAAAGATCAAATGTTTGAGGATCTAGTATCCATAGTTCATGCTGGTGACCCAGACGCCGAAGCCAAAGACAAGGTGGCCCCTCCAAGACGTCGCCTTGTTCCCGAGTTCATGCTGCAGTTAGCTCGTAAAGTCAGCCCCTTCTAGCATAGCGTACCACATCCTTAACAATATACAACGTAGCAGCACTTTCTTCTCTGAAGTTTGCTTCTTCAAGTTACTCTAGTGTACATGTTGCTCCTTTGTTTTTTTTACCCCCTTCTGTTTGTATGGAGCTTGTCAATCATTCTTTACTAGTCCACACAGTAGGCCATTGTTTTGAGAGATTATTGACATTTGTAGATTGATTCTTTGGTGAATAAAAACTTGCATTCTGCAATCTCCAATGGAGCCGAGTATGAAATGTTTGAATAATCTGATCCAGATATCATTTCTCTGTGTTGACTACAATTGGACGATTAGAACAGCTGGAAGAGGTTGAGATCTTGCTTGGTTATGTAATTGAATCAGGAAGCCGTATCCTTAGCTCCTGCTGCTCCTTTTCTTGCGACCTCTGGCGTTATGATTCATGATCTTACCTGGACGCACCGACTTCTGTGAAGTTTGCTTCTTCAAGTTGCTCTTATGTACTCGTAGTCCAATGTAGACCATCTTTATGAGAGATTACTGACATTTGTGTAGATTGATTCTATAGTGAATGAAAACATCAATTCCATCAATAGTGCTGAGTGAGTATGAAAAGGTGTGTAATATGATCCAGATATGGTTTCTCTGTACTGCACAAGTAGATGAAAAGAATGCTTGGATGAGGTTGAGATCATGCTTTGCTATGAACTTTGTATCTATGAACAGGAACTAAGTTTAGTATTTGTGCAGGTATAAGAATAAACAAATCACAAAGGGGAAGTAGCTCAGATGGTAGAGCGCTTGCTTAGCATGCGAGAGGTACGGGGATCGATACCCCGCATCTCCATTTTTTCCTATTTTCTGCTTTCCAAAATTTTTGTTTTTTTCTTAAATCATCAATAATCAATTTCTCCCGAAATAAAAATGGAAATCTAAAATACTAAACTGACTTGTTATCCAAGTTCGCTCAGACCTTAAACCCTTAAAACCCTAAGAGGAAAGGAAAGTGAGAGCTGAATGCACTGATCGTCTCCCTCTCAAATCCCAAATCCCTCCTCGCAATTCACCTCTCCCGTGCCCGGTGCTTTCAGTTGAGGTTTGTTTATCTGCTTCGCCGTCGCTTACCGGAATTTACTCCCGCCCTGCTTCTTCTCTATTCGTCTTCATCATCATCATCGTCTTAGTTTTTGTTTCTGTGGGTTCGAGGAGTTGGAGCGATCTGATCCGTCCGCCATTTATTGACTCGGCTGTTTTCACTACTTGCGCAGATGGCTTCGAACAACACCCCGAATATGACTAACGCCCAATTGGGATCTTTTCTGGTCAAGTTGGGAGTCGCCGCTGGAGCTGTCGTTTACGCCGCTGCGAACTGCCTCTACAATGTGGAAGGTGGCCACCGTGCCATCGTCTTCAATCGGATTACTGGCATCCATAACAAGGTCGCGATTTAGTGTCCCTAACTATTCCGATTTGATTGTTCCCGTTTTGGACGAATTCATTTACCCTCAGATGCGATATTCCCCCATTCTTGTTTCTGTTTCTTACTCCCCCCCGCTGCCGCTGTCGAACAGACTTACCCAGAAGGAACCCACTTTGTCTTCCCCTGGTTTCAAGTCCCGATCATCTATGACGTCAGGGCGCGTCCTCATCTTGTGGAGAGTACATCTGGGAGCCGTGATCTTCAAATGGTAAGCCTTGCTTGGCCCCCGTATTCTGTTTTTTTTTTGGGTTGTATGATTGTTTTGTTGGGCAGTGCTGTTTGCTCATACACTCCTCAAATCAATGTATGTGTTTATTGTTTACTGCCTTCCATGTTATGCCTGCTTCTCTGGTTGAGTGGTTTGGTTTGTTCTTGATGACAATGCCGATTAATGTAGCTATTATGAATGCTGTATTGTGGTCTCACATTAAGGTGGTGTCATAATCTAGTCTTTGTATTGGCTCATTTCTGGTATGTTTCCAGTGGTTCTTGAGCTGGATCCTAAACTCTTCCTAGGAACTTTTTTTTTTTGGATAAGGGATCTTCCTAGGAACTTTGGATGCATGTTTTCTCCACCACCGTAGGGTGTTGGTTTATTTGTGCCTTTGGCTTGATCCTTCCATCCCCTTTGGCCAACATGTCTTTGTGATATTCTTTCTTTCGGTATAAGTTTAAGTTATGTTCTCCCATAGCGCATAAGTTGTTATGAGATGTGTTTGCTTACCTGGAGTTGCATCTGTATGGTGCATGATTTTCTCGGTGAATTGTTCTAGATGCTACGAAAATCTGTAGTTGCTGTTAGGAAAGTCCACCTGATGACTACCGAATGTGCCTTTTCGGATTTTTCTTCTTGCTTATGCTAGTTATGTTTCCTTTTTCCGGTTCCATTTCAAACAACTTTTTGAACTATTTTGAATCCATGAGGGTTGAAGCCTGTAAATTATGTTTAAGATGGATACAATTTGATGCTTGTTGGTTCTGAAAATTGCTCTGTGGTTAAGTGCGTAGATCTGGTGTATCAGCGCCATTGTTGCTCAGTAGCAAACATTGAATTCTTCAAATTAAGGCCAGACTTTTTAAATCGTTTTCAAACCGAGGCCAGTTTTGGTTGTGGAGTGTAAGTTTTTCGCATGGTTTATGTGCTGCTATTGATATTAAGTTCCATTTTCTCTTGAATTTCCTTCATTGACAGGTCAAGATTGGGCTTCGAGTCCTGTCTCGTCCTGTGGCGGATCAGTTGCCCACAGTCTTTAGGACCATGGGTATGAGTTATAACGAGAGGGTGATGCCTAACATCATTCACGAAACTCTGAAAGCGGTGGTTGCACGGTACAATGCCAGCCAGCTAATCACTCAGAGAGAGGTAGTGTGACCTTTCTTGTATTGTTGTTCACTTGGTTAAGTTTTTTCTTGTTGTAGTTTAACCATTTCATATGATTGCTATCCTTTTCACGAAGGGTATATCTGATCTATCATTCTTTTCACGAAGGGTTGTGTGGTACTTCATGTGGCAACAACAGTTTTATGCTTTGTTTTGGTTGAACCTGATTCAACTGGCTGTTCAACTGCCCTAGTGCCAAATCATATGTCTATTTGTGCTCTTTTTGTTAGGATGTTAGTAGAGAAATAAGGAGGATCATGACAGAAAAGGCCAAATATTTCAACATTGCACTGGATGATGTGTCCATCACTAGTCTGACTTTTGGCAAAGAGTTCACTGCTGCGATTGAGGCGAAACAAGTGGCTGCTCAGGAGGCAGAGAGGGCTAAGTTCATCGTGGAGAAGGCTGAACAGGACAAGAAGAGTGCCATTATCAGAGCAGAGGTTGCTAGTTTGAATGATCTTTATTGTAGTTTTTGCCCAAATTTCTCAATTATTATATGTGCCATGGTTTTAATAATCTATTGTCTTCCCAACTCTTAATGACGACAGGGTGAAGCCAAGAGTGCGCAGCTGATCGGACAAGCAATTGCAAACAATCCTGCTTTCATCACCCTGAGGAAGATTGAAGCTGCCAGAGAGATTGCAAACACAATGTCGCGTTCATCGAACAAAGTCTTCCTTGACTCGGGCGATTTGCTGCTGAACCTCCACGAATTGGAGATGAATGCCACTGGGAATTGAAATGAATGAATTGATCTCTTTTTGTTGTTAGGTTTCCTCATGGATTCGATCCTGACGCATTATGGAAGGGTTAAAAACTTGTTACGGCGGGTTTAGTAGTAATCACTAATCAGGGATGTAGATAAGACAGGTAGCTCTGCTGTTTTTTTGGTATTGGGAGATCGAAAGAACAATGGAGTGAGGGGGATATCGTCGAGAAACAGCAGGTAGCTTTGCTTTTTTTTTTACTGGATCTGTGGATCGGAGGCGGTCCGATACCTATGCGCATGCATTCCTGGCTTCTCCCACATAACTACTAGCATATATAGCCGACTAATTACATAATGGTCCATGAACTTTAAATTTCTAATTTGACCGATTACAAATCAAGGTTGTTAAATCGATTTAGCAAGTAGAATGGTTAGATGGGTGGTAAAATCACTTCGTGCCGTTTAAAAAAAAAAATGTAGGACTGTGAATTACCAAGGCAATTCTGTAGTGCGGCCACTGCATTGATACAGTCCATTTTCTACCGGCTACACCCTGTCTTCGGCTTTCCCCGTTAATGGGCTGGTCCCTAACCCTACGGGAAGGGACTAGATAGTGTGACAACACCTCTTGTGTTGTTATTGTAACAACACTAGTCCCCAACCAATAGGAAGCTAGGGTTGTGATGACTTTTTATTAGATGAGTTGACCTAGTGTAAAATCAAAGTAGGAGTATAATTGTCATTATGAAAAATATTTTTAAATAATAAAAAAAGAAAATAAAAAAAATAAAAGTTTTTTTTTTCGGCCCAAAATTTTGGTCGCCGGAATTCGGCCACCGGAATCTGGTCGCTGATCACCGGAATATGCTTTTAGTCACCGGAATATGCTATTTTCTCATCGGAATATGCCACCGTCGTCGGAATATGCTTACCGGCGTCGGAATCTAGTCATCGGGGCCGGAATATGCCTATCGGCGTCGGAATCTGCTCACTGACGGTCATCGGAGTTTGGTCAACGGTCAACGACCACCGGATGTTATGGTCTGCATTGTGAGATTTAGGGGTCGTTTGCTTTATGGATTTAAAAACGAGGGTTTTGTAATTTAAAAACCCAAGGATTTATCAAGGATTTGAGGCATCATGGATTTGTAACAATCCTTTGTTTGTTGAGATGCTTTTATCATGGATTTAAAGGTGTGGGATTTACTACTTGAAGTCCAAAATTACATTACTATCATTGTCTATATGCTTGACATGTTTATGATATGTACACAAAACAAGGGCAAAACTTCAAAATTACCTCACTATCCTTTTCTATATGTTTTACATGTTTATGATATGTACACAAAACAAGGACAATACATACTAATAAGCATAATGTTGCCACATGGACAATAATAATAAACGAGAAAATTTCGTTTAACTTTTAACGTAACATAATAAATTACCAATTCTGTGTCCTCCTTTTCATAAGTAACATATAACAACATATATTAGAATCGGGAGAACAAAGAATTACACGTTCCATGAAAATGTCAAAGAAAACTAGAACACAAGAAATGATATAAAAAATCTAACTCATGTTTGCACATTAATTGAATGTTTATATTATTCATTTATTGTTAATTACTTGATTAATTATAATGTGTAATAGTTAAATTTGAGGACAACCTTGGAATATTAAAAGTGCATGAGGGTATATAGATAAAATCTCATCAAGGATTTATGTTATGTTCCAAATCCCACATCAACATGTGGGATTTATAAGTCCGTGGGGTCCACGGATTTGGACCCTTAAAATCCGTGGGCCCCACAGATTTGGTCTCCAAAAAAAATGTAAGCAAACAATGAATTTTTGTTAAATCCATGATGGATTGGATTTGGGTACCAAATCCATGATCCAAATCCATGAAGCAAACGACCCCTTATGGTTTGGTTTCTCATATTTTTGTATGCCTTTTGTGGTTTGCTTTATCGTGTTTGTGGTTTGCATTAAGAAGTTTCTAGTTTGCTTTATCGTGTTTGTGGTTTGCATTGAGAAGTTTCTGGTTTGCTTTCAAAAAATTTGTGTTTTGCATTGAGGGGTTTGCGGTTTGTTTTAGGAGATTTGTGGTATGCATTAGGAGGTTTCTGGTTTGTTTTTGTTGTTTGCTTTAACGTGTTTGTGGTTTGCATTATGAGGTTTCTGGTGTGTTTTTGAAAATTTTGTGGTTTGCTTTGTGAGGTTTCTGGTTTGTTTTAATATATTTTTGGTCTGCATTAGGACATTTCTGGTTTGTTTTGGTGGTTTGCTTTACGATGTTTATGGTTTGCGTTATGAGTTTTCTGGTGTGCTTTCAAAATACTTGTGGTTTGGTTTGTGGTGTTTCTGGTTTGTTTTAGGGAATTTGTGGCATGCATTGGGAGGTTTTTGGTATGTTCTGTTATGGTTTGTTTTACCGTGTTTGTAGTTTGTTTATGAAGTTTCTGGTGTGCTTTGTGGTGTTTTTTATTTGTTTTAGGAGACTTATGGTTTGAGCAGCTTGTGTCCGAGCTCCTCGAATCTCAGGCTGTTCATGATCGTCAGGTAGATGGTCCGACGGAGCTCCACTGCTTCTGTCTCGGTCTTGTCCTTGATCTCGAGATCATCTTCTTCTTCCGATTCGTCGGATTCAGATTCTGAACCGGTGGATGTTTCTTCTTCTTCTTCTTCTTCTTCTTCGTCCTGATCGCCGAGAATGCTCTTCTTTTTCACTTCGAATTGGGACTCATGTAGAGCATAGTCGGGGTCGAATTTGAACACATTCCGACCTAGCTCCTGATCGACGCCCGAATCGTCGAGAGAAACATCATGAGTGATTTACTGGTCATCATCCAAGAGATCCAGCTCGGGCCGAATCGCAGGGTAACCTCTGAAATTCGCCTTTCGAATTGCGAACAGGCCTTTGATCAGAAACTGCACTCGCTTGTCGATCTCCCCCTCGTGCAGGACGTCGCGCAATCGATCGAAACACGCGGCCAGTCCTCTCGGCGAGAGGTCGTGAAGGAGCGCTCCGCATTCCGTCAGGAAGGCGACAGCGAGCTCGACGCGGTCGTCGCTAGGGTTTTCGAGCAGGTGGTGGAGCAGCTCGAGTGCGAGTGTGTGGTGCGCGACTCGCTGGTTCACGAGGTGCGCGACGAACTTCGCAAGCGCGAGGAGCCAACTGATTTCTCGGCGCGATTGAACTTCGCAAGCGCTTTCCCTTCCAGTCCAGCCAACTGAGATTGGTTGCAGACTCCTGTGCTGTCACTTCCTGCGTAGTAGTGGTCGTCGTAGCAGCAGGCGAAGCAGCAGATGGTTGAAGGCGATTCTGGGATCCTTCTCCTCCAACATCAACCGCGCTACCGCCGCGAAAAACTGCGTCGAAGTCCTCGCCAACTCGCAGCACCGCAGCCGGAGAAGCCCTCCGCTGTTGGGGAGGAGGAATCAAGAACGCGCGGGGCGTGAAGAGAAGATCGAGAGTGATAGAAATTAGGATATCTTAATTTAATTTTTATTTTGTTAGATATATGAGTATATTTACCCTTATACCCTTAATGAATCCTGTTGTTAGTATAACAACACTTAAGGTGTTGTTATACTATCCGGACCCCTACGGGAACAAAGAAAAAGTGTGTGCAATTTTTATATTTTAAAATAATGTTAAATACTCTACACGAAGGTCATGTAATATGTTGTACTTTTGTTCCATTAGTTTTTTTTACAATTTAGACCCTGTAATAAAACAAAAAGAAATACAGATTTTGGTTGGTAACCTAAAAAATACATATGAGTTGTAAACACAACCTATTTATATCGTTGTATGATGTACTGGAAGATTAACGAAATAAGAAAACCTAAAACATAAAAGGGAGATCCTCTCCGTGGACTAGTGTCATACTGACGATACCACGATAAAAAATGCTCTCGTGTTCTTCACTTTGACCTTTTGACAATATTTACCATGCGTGTATTTTATAGTTATAATATGCCCCTTTATTATGACGTTTTATCAAACATACCCCTATACTATTTTTTACATCAAACATGCCCCTGTACTTTGAAAAAATTATCAAACATGCCCTTCTGTTAAACTTTCGATTGAAAAAATCGCCAATCATGGTTGAACCGAGATTTAGACGACCCGACCTCTGCAAATAGGAGCGAAAATGTCACTTTTGTCTCCCATTTTATTTCTCTGGGTCTCTTCAAAGTGAAATTATTTGAATTATTTGGCTATACAAAAGAACCAAAAAAATTCTAAAGTGAAATTATCAGAGATATTTTAGACATTTGTATCACCCAAACCAAAGTTTGGCCTTTGTTAACGGATTTTGGATGAAAATTTTAACATAAGGGCATGTTTGATAATTTTTCAAAGTACAAAGGCATGTTTGATGTAAAAAATAGTTGAGGAGCATGTTTGATAAATTGTCATAGTAGAGGGGCATATTTTACCTATAATCCTAATTTTTTTTGGTTATCATCTTTTGACAATGCTAGAAATTCGAACTAAAGTCGTAAATTCAAACCATTTGAACAGTGATAATTAGTGATGAGATAATATCTTATGAATTACTCTATTTCTCAAACAATTTACATCTAATTTACCTACATTTATAACCCACTTTCACTAACGTGGCTTTGTCGTTGCTAGGGATGACAATCAAACCCGCAACCATGGATAACTGACCAACTCGACCCAATCAATGAAGGGAATCCCTGCATTGACTAGGTATGGGGGGAGTAGCGGTAAAACTGCAAAATTTTTAAAGTGGATGGGGTGATATGCTTTTAGACTCCCCCGATTTTATTCAGATACCTGTGGGTAATACCTACTTCGCTGCTCGTACATCCAACATTATTATCTAAAATTTAAGATATAGATATTTAATTATAACACTAAACGGATCTAGTAAACCATGAAATTAACAAAGATACTATTTAATTACAAATTTAACACATTTAATCCTAAAATATTCATAAACCATAAGAAAAAGTATAATGTTATCCAAATCAACTAGAGAGTTATTTTGTGACAACACCCCTGCCACTAAGAGAATCAACTAGAAACTGGACATTTTTACCAAATTCAAAACCTAATAAAGGAGCCAAGAAAATATAATAGAGCAAGCTAAATTGCAGAATTCCACTTCGTCACTGGTGCGAAGTACAATCAAATTATGCTTAACTTTCATTACTACTTCATGGACACTTGGAATAAATAACTCTAATTTTTTAAAAGGGAGAAATAAGTATAGGACTGAAAGAAGAATTGGAGGGAGCTAAATTATTGTTTGGTTTGGGTGATCATTCAATTACATTTCAATATTTTTTTGAATTACTCTTCTTTTTATTGACATGTTACATTTGATTTATCTATTTTTTTTATGTATAAAAGTACTCTTGGTGGGTTGGGTATGAGTATGAATATGTGGCAGGGAGTCTAAAACCACACAACCTCATACCTATCAAAGTTTTTGTGTGTTTTAACCATAATCATCTCATACTCAGTCAAATGTGGATTCTCTACATTAACGGGTGGGGGATGAACAGATACCCGTGCTTGCGGGTTGATTTTCATCCCTAACAACGATGGAGCCACGTTAATGATAGGGAGAGATAAATATAGGTAAAAGTACATCTAAAGTTTTTATTTTTTTAAATAGAGTAATTATTAAAATATTAGTCAATCTCCAATTATCACAATTCAAATCTCTTGATTTATATTTTTGGCTTCAATTCAAATTTATAGCACCACCATTGATAATATAAACATAAATTTTTTAGTTTAATAAATTTAATTTTTTTTGAATACGCTGTATAAATATTTTAAAACCGACTCATATTTACTTTGGTTTCCAAAAAAATTCTGCCATGTGTTTTTTTTTTCTAGGGGTTGAGAAAAAAAATATTGGAACAAAAGTACGTAACATGAAAACAAATATTACATGACTTGTGTAAAGTTACGGGAAAACTGAAAAATATATTTTTTTGTTCTCGGAGCCAAGTAACGGGGTTTCAAAAAAAAAAAAAAGACAAAATACAGATGTATATCCACAACTATAAGGTTTGTGACAAATATCCACAACTATCGAAATACACGAAATCCATTTCCGTCCACTCCGTTAACTTCGTCAGTTAACTTGATGACTGGACAGACAGTGGATGCTTAGTTGGCATGTTTGTGACCCACTGAATGACGTGGATTAAAAGAGAAAAAAAAATTAAAAACCCTAAAAACCACAAAACGAGTATTGACTTTCCATTTCTCAACTTCGATCCGTCTTCTCCCCTTTCCTTAATCTCTCAGTTTTCCGACCACGACAGATGGCGAGACTAAAAATCCAACCCATAAACACGCCCGATAACCACCGATCCTCCTCTGATCGACGCCTCCGCCTCCAAATAACCCTACCCAAGCCCAGATTTTGATTCCAACCACAATCCTCAACCATCGCGTCCCTTTTACTCCGATAGCTTCCATGCAGTCGGCGCCATGGTGATACCAAGCTTGAAAATCAAACAAAATAAGATTGAACTAACCAAATCGCCAACAGAGAAGACTGCAGTAGTGAGGTCTAACAGATAACGGTGGAGGTAGTTTAATCCCAAACTCGATGCCACCTCCGCTCCCGGATTTCACTTCGACCACGTCGCTAGAGCGGGGAACAACAGTCCAAATCTTTCTTGAGAGAAACAGCGCTGGATCTGAAATCGTTCGCTCCGCTCTTCGAATTCGTCGCCGCTGGACCTCCCGTAGCGGTGGGGAGCTCCCGCCCCAGACCTGGCGACGGAGGATATGGGTACGAAGCCGTTTTTGGGGCAAAAGGGGAGGTGATTTTGGCGGCGGCCGTCGGGGAACAGGCGACGAGGAGTAGTTGGGAGCCGAGATGGAGGTGGTCACCGGTTTTGGAATATGCAGAGGTTGCTAACAGAGAACAGAAACAAAAATATGGATTTGCCCAAACCCACATCTCACCTCTGTAAGAACATTCAGGTATGCGTAATGGGTCACGACCTGCATGAGTGCCCAAGAAGCGAGGTCCGATTTTGATTTCAAAACAAAGATGAACCCTATTTTTTTTAGTTTGGGGAAGGGGTGAAGAGCCCGACGGGGTTAAACGAGGAAAAAATGGTTTTTTCATTTTCGTTTTTATTCAACTAGCCTATTTGGCATCTAGGTGTAAAGTTTGATTGCTTTTTGGCTTATAAGGCAGGTGAGATGACATCAATTCAGCATTCCGTTAGTCAATTTAACGCCGTCTGACACGCCGTTATAGTTTCAGAACGGAAGTGGATAGATTTGTCACACAATCTTGTGATTTTTGGATATTTCGTGTATTTCATTAGTTGTGGACTTGTGGATATATTTGTCACAAACCTGATAATTGTGGATATTGATGACTCGGTATTTGCACATGTTTTCCCCTTTGTTTCTTGATTGTTTGAGCTTGAATTATTGCGTCTTTGGCCTATTTTATGCTAGGTTGTGTTCCTTTGTCCCATTTCAGGTCCTAGCACATAAAGTGAAGCATAGGCGCAAGTTTCAAGTCAATCAGAGATCAATTGACGATTCGAGAGAAGAAACTCGGGCATGACCTGAAGAAGAATGGATTTCTACCTCACTTTATGGACAAAGAATCATGCAAGCTTGTTATGAAACGAAAGAGGACGAGACTACGAGCGTCTGGGATCAAACGGCGATTGATTCGGAGTCCGGACGAGGGAGAAACGAAGCATTAAACAGAGGCTGAGCAAGCTGCACGGGCAGACCAGCGTGGCCACGCACGGCCGTGCAAGTGACCAGTTTGGCCGTGCGGGATTGTGCGTGGGCACGCACGGGCACAAGTGAAATCCGCACGGCCGTGCAACATACAATTCTGGCCGTGCGAGTTGGCTGAGGTTCAACTAATTGATACGCCGCGTTTTGAGGTGCACGGCCATAATGGTGATGTGCACGGCCGTGCACACTGGCCGTGCGAGTCGGGATTTCCTGGTTTTAAGCCAAATTCCGAACCAAAGAAGGGGGAGAGCTGGGTTTTGGATCCCAAACACCCAAGGGACGAACCCTAGAGAGAGAGGGCGATTTGAGGGCATTCTTGGAGTAGAGAAGGAGGATTTCTTCGCCTTGGAAGCTCGAGGAACAAGCCCGGACTTGAAGACTGATCATCTGAAGATTCTTACTGCAGTCTCTCTCTTCTCTATGGAGTAACTTCCCTTCACTTAGGTTTTGAGGAACCCTAGCTATGTTTGTTTGATTGGATGATTGTATGAGTACTCTGACTTGATAATCTTGAGTTCATATTCAATCTATGCATGTTTTCATGATTCAATTCTGCTTTAGTCGAGATTATTGATTCTGCTTTGATTCTATGAGAGGGAATACCTGATTAGGTCAATAGAGCACCATAGATTGATAGTAGTGGATCGATTTCTTTAGTCGAGGGTTGATTCACTGCTTTGTATCGATTGAGAACCTCTTTCGATAGAGGGAGTCTAGTTCAGAACGCCTTGATCAGTTGTTCTAGAGAAGGATACGTCCCTCTAGGCAATTGACTCAAGAGGGCCTTGTTCCTTTAGTCGAGACTCAAGGTCTAGTCGAGGATTCTCCGCATTGTGAATGAAAGTGAAACAAGTTAGAAATCATCAATCGTTAATCTGGCTAGTGGCTAGGGGGAATCATACCTAAGTGAGTTCCCAACCTGTAATTAGATTAACTTTAACTGTAGTTTGCTAGAGTAGTTTTAGTTCTTTTATCTTGATCTGGTTTGCTAAATAATAAACTGAAGCTGAGTAATAGTAACTCTAGAGACCCGTGGATTCGATATTTATCACTTGAGCCACTATACTGCAGTCCCTTCCATTGCTTACACTTGGCCATTGTTAGGTGTTGTGTTTTAGCGAGTCAAGTTTTTGGCGCCGTTGCCGGGGACTTTCTAGAGTATTAGGAAAGGCAGAAGTTTGTTACTTTAGCGTTTTTCTTTTCTTTTCTTTTCCACCCTTGCTTTTCACTTGGGTGTTTTTATTTTTGTTGGTGCAGATCTGAATCATGGATCCTAATGGCTTCTCCAATCATTGGGGGTATCCACCACCATCTGGGTGGTATTACCCCGAGACTCCCTGGAGCAATCAAGGCGGAGAAGACTATGGGTTCGGGTTCCAGTACCAACCCCCTTACTACGGAGAACAACCGGACCCCTGGGCATATCAAGAACAACCTCATTATCAAGAAGAATTTCTCCCACAACCAGAAGGGCCATCGGCGCTGGAGTTACTCATGGAGCAGTATGCTCGAGACTGTGAGAGAACATGCTCCAGGATGGATCAGTGTGTCCAGGCCTCCCGTGAAACAGATGAGATCCTCCTGAGCCTTAAGAAGAGCGTCGATGATCTTGAGCGATCTTGGGCGCAACCTGCTCCAGATCACCCTTCTGCTACCATACAAGAAGAGGAGGAGGAAGAAGAGGGCTACAAGGGCATTGTGGAACACACTGAAGTCGTCACGGAGAGCTCCCGTGATGATCATGATCAGGCCTGTCATGTCGTAGCCGACCACACCTTCCCACACCCCAAACTGAGCTTTGAAGAGGCGGGCATGAGTGAGGAGATGCAAGAAGATCTCATGAAAGAAATTGCTTGGCAACTTGCTCTCCAATCCGTGCTAGAAGAAGAAGAGCAAGAAAGGGTGCAGAAAGAAGTTGTGGAGGATGACGGAAGTGATGCTAGAGGAGTTCTTGATCATTTCCCAGGGGTGATACCACATGAAGAAGGAAGGGAGGTTGAAGAAGCAATTGGCGTCCAGGCTGAGGACGAAGTTGAGGTGGAAGAGGCTTGCACCGGCCATGAGTTACATGTGATATCTCCACCAAACTTCGAGGAACTGCTTAGCAAGGACCCATTTGCAGTGTCTCTTTGCCAGACCAAGGCCACCTCGACATCGGTCCCTCTTGGTGGACGCGATGGTGGCCAATCGATGCTGTCTTATCTGGTTTGGGGCAATGAGACGAGAGAAGAGAAGAAGAGGTCTCGAGGGTGGAGACTTCGTCTGCATCAAGTACATGAGCCTTCATCACCTGCCGCATCACATGCTCATGACTTGAGACTCCACCTCATCGATGAGAACCTCAACTTCAAGGAGGTTCTAGCATGGACCGAAACTTAGGAGCCATCGTCCGGCTCATGACGTGAAAGAAGCGCTTGTTGGGAGGCAACCCAACCAGTCGGTTTGCATCTCTTTCTCTATTTCTCTTCGGTTGAGTCAGTTTTGTTCTTTGATTTCAGAGTCAATAATTCAACCTTTGTGAGATTTTGTGTGGTGTTTGTGTTTCGACTACTTTGTCCTCCTGGAATGCACCGCCTTCCCCGTCCACAATCATTCACCGTTGATATGGTAACTTCGTTCTACCCTCCTTATCTTTCCTCCATTGAGGACAATGTCGTGCTTAAGTGTGGGGGGATGTTCGATTATGTATGTGTGTGAATGTTTGACTGTTTGTGTCTTGGAGCCTAGTCCACTGTCCAAATTTCGATTTGAGGGCTCCAAGTACGTGTTCCATGCAATTGCCTGCTCAGTATGCTTTGAATTGACAGTCTTTATAGTAATATGCAACCTAGGGAGGTAGTGTAGCACTATGGAGGATGTTGATGCATTTAAGAAGTCTCATTTCTTCTTCATATAAAGTTGGTTGATTGAGTGAATTAGTGATCTTAGGACCCTTGAATTGTGTGGTGTTGTGGATTCTCTACCTGTCATGGACTCTTGTATCATGTTTTGAAAGTAACAGGTGCTCGAAAATGTGCTTCAAAATAAACGTCTCCCGTGCGAATAGGGCGAAAGTGTGTAAGGGGAGACGGGAATTCGTTCCCAATTTCCACCTACTACCTCCAGCCCCCTTACATGTCTTTCCCCCGCACGAGGCTCGAGACATCCGCTCCTGGCATGGCCGGTAAGAGCAGGTTGGGACCCTTGAAAAAGAAAAGAAAAGAAAAATATCAGAAAACAAGCAAAACAAAAAAAAAGGGGTCTCAACCATCTTCAAGAAGCAGAAAATAGAGCACCTTGAAAAATGTGAGTCCATGATCTGTTGTTTTTGAGAATCTCCTCATCCACAATTCATTTGTCCTCTGTTCACTATTTGCCATGATGCCGACTCGCCGAAGAAGTTATGAGATGACTTGTGCGTCGGTTGACCTCGTAAGCTGCTAAATGATCTAGGAAGTCCTCTACCTACGATCTGGGTTGTTTGTTGCTATAGAGGTCTGGAGAGTTGCATTGGTTTGAGTTAGGTTTGCTTGGGGACAAGCAAACAGTTAAGTGTGGGGGGATTTGATGACTCGGTATTTGCACATGTTTTCCCCTTTGTTTCTTGATTGTTTGAGCTTGAATTATTGCGTCTTTGGCCTATTTTATGCTAGGTTGTGTTCCTTTGTCCCATTTCAGGTCCTAGCACATAAAGTGAAGCATAGGCGCAAGTTTCAAGTCAATCAGAGATCAATTGACGATTCGAGAGAAGAAACTCGGGCATGACCTGAAGAAGAATGGATTTCTACCTCACTTTATGGACAAAGAATCATGCAAGCTTGTTATGAAACGAAAGAGGACGAGACTACGAGCGTCTGGGATCAAACGGCGATTGATTCGGAGTCCGGACGAGGGAGAAACGAAGCATTAAACAGAGGCTGAGCAAGCTGCACGGGCAGACCAGCGTGGCCACGCACGGCCGTGCAAGTGACCAGTTTGGCCGTGCGGGATTGTGCGTGGGCACGCACGGGCACAAGTGAAATCCGCACGGCCGTGCAACATACAATTCTGGCCGTGCGAGTTGGCTGAGGTTCAACTAATTGATACGCCGCGTTTTGAGGTGCACGGCCATAATGGTGATGTGCACGGCCGTGCACACTGGCCGTGCGAGTCGGGATTTCCTGGTTTTAAGCCAAATTCCGAACCAAAGAAGGGGGAGAGCTGGGTTTTGGATCCCAAACACCCAAGGGACGAACCCTAGAGAGAGAGGGCGATTTGAGGGCATTCTTGGAGTAGAGAAGGAGGATTTCTTCGCCTTGGAAGCTCGAGGAACAAGCCCGGACTTGAAGACTGATCATCTGAAGATTCTTACTGCAGTCTCTCTCTTCTCTATGGAGTAACTTCCCTTCACTTAGGTTTTGAGGAACCCTAGCTATGTTTGTTTGATTGGATGATTGTATGAGTACTCTGACTTGATAATCTTGAGTTCATATTCAATCTATGCATGTTTTCATGATTCAATTCTGCTTTAGTCGAGATTATTGATTCTGCTTTGATTCTATGAGAGGGAATACCTGATTAGGTCAATAGAGCACCATAGATTGATAGTAGTGGATCGATTGCTTTAGTCGAGGGTTGATTCACTGCTTTGTATCGATTGAGAACCTCTTTCGATAGAGGGAGTCTAGTTCAGAACGCCTTGATCAGTTGTTCTAGAGAAGGATACGTCCCTCTAGGCAATTGACTCAAGAGGGCCTTGTTCCTTTAGTCGAGACTCAAGGTCTAGTCGAGGATTCTCCGCATTGTGAATGAAAGTGAAACAAGTTAGAAATCATCAATCGTTAATCTGGCTAGTGGCTAGGGGGAATCATACCTAAGTGAGTTCCCAACCTGTAATTAGATTAACTTTAACTGTAGTTTGCTAGAGTAGTTTTAGTTCTTTTATCTTGATCTGGTTTGCTAAATAATAAACTGAAGCTGAGTAATAGTAACTCTAGAGACCCGTGGATTCGATATTTATCACTTGAGCCACTATACTGCAGTCCCTTCCATTGCTTACACTTGGCCATTGTTAGGTGTTGTGTTTTAGCGAGTCAGATATACAACTGTATTTTGCCAAAAAAAAAGTAGCCCAGTAACGGAGAAAGCCGAAGACCGGCTGTAGCTGGTAAAAAAGGGACAATATCAATACAATGGCGGCACTAAAGAAAATACTTACAATTTGAAGATAATTTACTTACAATCCATATTCATATTTAAATAAAATACGCCACTTCAAATAAAATAACAAATAATCATGGTTATAAACATAATTTAACATCGCTTCATAGATGTTTATAATTAAATTCAACAAACAACATAAACCTTTAACATTTAAATTCATAGAATAAATAATTTATTACAAACAATTAGCTACGCAGACTTACCATTATATATATAAAAAAAAACAATTAGCTACGCAGACTTACAAAAACACCAAGGAAAAATTAGAAACTACAAACAATGACTCCCCATATTGCAGATGCAGCCACCTGAATAGGATACGTGGTCCGCTAGCTGCACCGAAAACTAGGGACTTTTACGAACGACTGCTAACGGGTTGGGGCTGCTAGCTAGCTGGTTTTGATAATTTCAGAATCGGTTGGTTGGTTTCAGAAATGGTTTCAGAAATTGAATTTATTTTAAATGTCGAAAACGTAAAACCTCCTCTGTAATATATGTCTATATTAATTCAGTATTTAAAGCCCAGTGAGATCGACCAGAAAGATGAACCATATGCATATCTGTCTATATTATTCAGTCTGAAGAAAATGGTGAACATGCAGTTTCTGCTTCGTCTGGTAGTTGGCCTGCTGATTGTTGTGCTACTTTCTTTCATGGGAGGAGCTCGACCTACGTACCTTGGCTGGTCGAGTAATATAATTCTCCGTCGTGGTTTGCGGTCCCCTGATGAAGAACACCTTGGTGAGTTCCAGTTCCCTCTCCATCGATCTGTCAAGAACCAGTTGATCCCAATAACTCGAGTTGTTGGGAGAGATTCAATCGTGAATCATATACCACATACTAACACGATCGTCCCTCTCAATCAGTACTAGCTAGTCTCGATCGATATTATTATGCATGTGTTAATGGTGATGATCAATTAATATAATTCCATTTTTCAGTGCCGGCTGTCCGGAGCAAATCTTTGAAAGCAAAGCATGGATGAGAGCGAGGAGATGGTTCATGGAAGTGGTAATGGCGAGTCTGTTTTTTTGTTTTTCTTTGGCTGTTCTTCTTTCTCTCGTCCTTAAATTGCAGCTTATTAGCAGAGATTCTTTTACGCCAGAGTGTATTGATCCTAGTTAGTTGCTCGCAAGAACACCTTGGTGAGTGTATGATTTGTTTCTAGTTATTCTCATGAAAATAATAATGAATATTTCTATTGTTTCCACATAAATTACAATCCAATTGGGTCCACCCGCTCCGACCCGCGCCCCATTTTAAATTATTCGATCTGCAATTGAGCAGATATGGGTATCGAGATACCCGGACCCTGTCCTGCCGAATTGCCATTCCTAATGGTATAAGAATAAGTTGTATTTTTACCTCTGCCAACACCAATATTTTTTTTATAAAATATAATCATACACATTTTCGGGTGCACTCAGTGCACCCGCCTCATAATTGTCATTCCGAGCATGCGATTCATGGTAAAATGGTATCAATTGTTGCTTATGATATCATGAACAAGAAGCACATGAATTTGAAAATAATCCATTCACAATTTACTTTAATTCAAAGGATTTAGGATTTAGGGATTTAGGGTTAGGGTTTAGGTTTACAATTTGGGATTTTGAGTTGGGATTCAAAATTGAAAGTTAAGGGGTTAGGGTAATAGATTGATTTGTTATGATTCTATGTCATATCATCATATTAGATTGAGAGTACTAATTAAAGTTCAATATTTGATATATTATGGACACTTTTAGAGTTGGGTGCACTGAGTGCACCCAAAAAAGTGAGTGCACTGAAGTAGCCACCATATATATATATATATATTTTGATAAGAAAAAAGATAATTACATCATAGAATTTAACCAGGTCATAAAATCAAAGAAACGACTTGTAGTCTGGTAAAATTGAAGGGCCTTTCTAGCCACCAAATGGGCTTACCTATTACTATGCTGACCTATAAATTGTACACTAAGCCCACCATGAATCACGATCTCCTCAGGAAGGGCTCCAATCCGACTATCCCTGGTATCAGCCCTATTGATTTTATCAATGATCACTTTGGCGTCACCTTCAAATCTCGCCTCCGTAAACCCGTTCGCCAGGCACTAGAGAATAGCCTCCTGGAGAACGAGCATTTCAGCGACCATAGGTTCATCAATCCTTGCTTCTGAATTTGATCTCTAGCGCTTCACTCACTTGTGGTTGTTTGAGGGTTTCATTTATTGCGGCCATTGTTGTTCGGTTCTTGCAGAGGTGGACGTCGTTTGGTTCTCTAGGCTCTATGTTCTCCCGGGTGGTTTAATTTGGAGCACTTTGTTGTGCTTTGGAATTAGGAGATTGTTCTTCGGATTCATGGTCGTTTCCTTTGAGATGTTATTTTTGGTTGATGTACTCTGGCTCGTTGTTGCTGACCCTCAAGCCGGCCGAGGGTTTTGTTGGCCCATGTGTTTGGGCATTTTTTCTTGTGTTGATAGGTCAAGCTCTTATTCTATGTTTTCTTGGATTTTTCCTTTTTTTTTGTTGTGTTTTTTTCCTTTTGTTATTTGCGTCGCACTTCACGTATCCGTGTTTTTTTAAACTTCTTTTTCCCTTTTGAGATAGGCCACTTCCCGACGCAATGCTATTCATTAAGAGTTTTTTTTTGTTGGTAATTTTACCAAAGTTTAAGGTCAATTTTTAAAAATTGACATATGACAACTTATTAAAGAGACATATTGAACATTTTTTTTATGTTTACTTTTCAATTTATGTTCTCATAATTTCATTTCTCCTCCTATTTCTTATATTTTTGTTTGTTGTTCTTCAATCAATTTGTTGTTTATATTTGATTTTGTATGCTTACTCATCTCTCTCGATCGAGACATGCTTTCGTATTTGATGTTAACGATACAAATCTCTCTCCCAATTGAGAAGAACGTGTAGAATTCTGCAATGCGGAATGAAAGCGAACACGAACAACACGAGATTTTACGTGGTATCCCCGTTCATGATTGAACGAGACTAATCCACGGTGAGCTCGAAAGAGCTCACGACTTGAGTTTTATTTCTGATTTTCAATGATCCCATGATCCTACGCCATCTACAAAGCTACTGACCTTTTATAGAAAAGAAAGACTCTCCACTAACGTGGGACACAAGCAACCGAAACAAAGGAGTTCAAAACCAACATGGACAAGGACATGAAGGTTATGGACACGGACACGTAATACGCCCCCTCAAGCGCACGCATGGAGATCGAACATGCCAAGCTTGGAAAGAAGGTGATGATGATGTTCGACCCCCAGCCCCTTTGTGAAAAGGTCCGCCGGTTGCTCGGCTGTAGGAATCTTGCGAGGTGCGATGTCGAGAGACTGAACGCGCTCCCGTACAAAATGACAGTCCATTTCGACATGCTTAGTACGCTCATGAAACACTGGATTGGCGGCAATGTGGAGTGCCGCCTGATTATCGCAGTAAAGAGGTGTGGGTCCTTGTGGAGGTACACCCAGGTCCTGCAAGAGCCAACGAAGCCATAGGATCTCACAGACAGTACTGGCCATGGCTCGATACTCAGCCTCTGCAGAAGAACGAGCGACAACTGACTGCTTCTTAGTGCGCCAAGAGACAGGAGAGGAGCCAAGGCGAATGAAGTAACCAGTAGTTGAACGACGCGTGGTTTGACAACCACCCCAGTCAGCATCGCAATAAGCAGTCAACTTGAGTGAATGGTTAACCGGAAACAGAAGCCCACGTCCAGGAGATCCCTTTAAGTACCGTAGAACCCGATGTGCAGTGGCTAGGTGGTCCTGGGTAGGAGCATGCACTGCCTGACTGAGAAGGTTAACCACGTAGGTGATATCCGGACGAGTAACGGTGAGATAGAGCAGACGTCCAACCAGACGACGAAAAGCTGTCGGATCAGGGGCAGGAGGAGATGCTGTGCGACCCAATTGATGATTCTGTTCAATGGGTGAGGAGCAAGGATGGGTGGCCTGAAAACCAGTGTCAGCTAGAATGTCTAACACGTACTTGCGCTGGTTGAGAATGATGCCCTTTTTAGATCGAGCAACTTCGATCCCAAGAAAATACTTCAAAGGACCAAGATCTTTGATGGTGAATCGATCATGAAGGAACGTCTTGACAGACTGAATGAAGACCATGTCATCCCCAGCAAGAATGACGTCATCAACATAGATAAGAGCAACGACAAAAGAGCTAGTCGTGCGATAGATGAACAATGAGTGATCTGCATGACTCTGACGAAAACCCAGTTCGAGAAGGGCAGCTGAGAATTTTTTATACCAATTCCTGGAAGCCTGCTTGAGCCCATAGATAGATTTTCGGAGTCGGCAAACACGAGTATCCCCAGGCTGTGCGAACCCCTGCGGAACCCTCATATAGACTTCCTCGTCTAAGTCACCGTGAAGGAAGGCGTTGTTGACATCGAGTTGATGGATGTACCAACCCTTCGTGACTGCGACAGCGAGGAGGCAACGAACAGTGACCAGTTTAGCGACGGGAGCAAAAGTGTCATGATAGTCAATTCCTTCAACCTGTGTGTACCCCTTTGCCACAAGACGCGCCTTGTAGCGCTCGATGGAACCGTCGGGTAGGTACTTGATTTTATATACCCACTTGCAGTCAATAGCACGTTTGCCTGGAGGTAAGAAAGTCAACGTCCAAGTGCCATTTTCAACAAGGCATTGAATTCAGTGAGCATAGCCTTGCGCCAATGAAGGTGGCGGACTGCTTGAAAGAAGTACTTTGGTTCTGTGACAAGGGAAACACTAGTGACGAATGCCCGATGGGAAGGAGAGAGCCGATGATAGGAGACAAAATTGGCCATGGGATAGCGGACATGATGAGCTTGGGAATCGCTGTGAAGATCAGTGTCGTAGTCTTGAAGGCGAGTAGGAGGGCGCCGTACCCTATCACCACGCCGGGGAGGGACTAGCTCGGTGGCTGCCTGTGGTGTAGGTGCATCGGTCAAAGGAGATGAGGTACCTGATGCTGGGCTGCTAAAATCCGTGAGGGGAGAAGAAGCAGCTGGGGAGGCAGGAGACGCTGCCGGTGAGAGAGGAGGAGGTGGAACCACTGTGAGTGGTGTGACCTGCTCGACGAGGGAAGGGAGGACAGCATCGGCAGCTTGAGGAGTGTGGGGGCTGGCATGGGGAGCTGAGCTGGCCGCCATTGGGTCTGCTGGAGTGGCAGTAAGAGGGACTTGAAAATCCTCTATGATGCGCACAGGAGTGAGAGGATCATGGGCAGAAAATTCCATGGGTGGCACCGCCCCCTCAAACATGTGCGGATTGTTGTACGGAAACAAGTGTTCTATGAACACCACATCACGAGATGTGTAGACTTCTTGTTTCTCAAGATCAAAAATGCGGTAACCTCGCTGCATAGCCGGGTAACCCACAAAGATGCCCGGGCGACCACGTGCTTCGAATTTGTGAAGATGACGATGATTATTCTTGGCATAGACGAGACAACCCAAGCTCCGGAGATGATTGTATTTGGGGAGTGTGCCAAGAAGGATATGATATGGAGTTTTATTCTGTATAGGGACGAGTGGCATTCTATTGATGAGATACGCCGCTGTGAGAATGCATTCACCCCAGAAACGAAGGGGAAGACCAGCATGAAAACGCAAGGCTCGAGCAGTGTCAAGAAGATGACGATGCTTACGCTCGACGACCCCATTTTGCTGTGGCGTATCTGTGCAAGAAGTTTGAAGGATGATGCCTTCTTTCTCATAGAAGTCACGAAGTGCAGGAGTAGAAAATTCCCGACCATTGTCTGCCTGAATACGACAAACATTTTTGTTATACTGACGGCGAACTTGGTGGCAAAAGACAAGTAGATAACGCGCCACTTCAGATTTGTTCCGCAGCAAAAAAACCCATACAGCACGACTGAAATCATCGACAATGGTCAAGAAATAACGAGCGCCAGTAAGAGATGCCTCATGAAATCCACCCCAAATATCGATATGAATAAGTTCAAAACACGAGTGCGTTTTAATACTGCTGTGAACAAAAGGAAGTCTAGTCTGTTTCGCCCATAAACAAGAATCACACGGGTCGGTGCTGGAAACCAAAGGACAAGATATATAAGGTTGCAAGGCTAACAACTTCGTCCCAGATGGATGCCCGAGGCGAGAATGCCAAAGTGCAGATTGCCCCAAAGCCTGCCGCGCCGAGTATGCCATCGCATGACTCCGTTCGAAAACCTTCAACTGATAAAGACCATCACTCTGAATCCCCATTCCAATCATCTTCCTCGAGGTTAAGACCAACACAGAAATCGCTTAAGAAAATCACGGCCACTGGGTGATCAGCAGTGAGACGACTGATAGATAACAAGTTGCACTGAAAATCCGGTATGTGCAAGACCCGATTCAAAACCAATCCGTTTTGTAACTGTGCCATGCCAATGTTACGAACAGGAACCCCATTACCATTGGGAATTCGAACCTGCATATCGGAGTTTTTCTCGAACTCACCAACAAACAAGGAAGCATTCGTAACTATGTGTTCATTACAGCCCGAATCGATAATCCATGAGTCGAGAGAGGGAGAGACATTACTTGACATGTTGACTGCCATTCCGGCTGATGGTTTGTTGGGAGAATCCATGTTGAGGAACGCCCGAAGTTGGGCGATTTGTGCCGGGTTTAAGCCAGGAACAGCGCCGCTAGCGTCACTTTCAACAGCAGCAGCCTTAGCGTCAGGCCGAGAAGACTTGGAGTGGCGACGCTTAGACTTGTCACCGGATTTGCCGCCTCCTTGAGACGATGATCGTTGTGGATAGACAATGAGCTCATAGCATGTGGCTTTGAAGTGCCCCAGCTTTTCACAGTGAGTACACCAGGGGCGACCTTCGGCAGTGCGAGGTTCACCTGGAAGCACGTCTCCCTTCCCTTGAAAGCAGCAGCATCAACGGGCGAGGGACGAGACTCATGTGAAAGGCTACGTTGCTGCTCCTCATTGGCTGCCATCTGATACGCAGCGCCAAGGGTAGGAGTAGGTTTCATCGAGAGCAGTTGAGTGCGGACGACCGAGAAGTTGTCATCCAACCCGATTAGAAAATCAAGTAGACGCATCTCCTCATGTGAAGATCGAGTGCGCTGCTCGACATGGCACTCACACTTTCCACATGTGCAACGAGCAGGAGGGTCCAACGTGAGCCAATCGTCCCAGAGGCGCTTTAGTTTGGAGTAGAAAGCTGCCACGCTCAAGTGATCTTGACGGAGAGCTGTAATGTCGCGACGAAGCTTGTAGCGACGTGGGAGATTGCCGGTGCTGAACCTTTCTCTGAGTTCTTCCCAGATTTGATGCGCGGAAAGACTAGATGAAAGACTGGTGCGGACATCACGACTCATGGCCGTGCGCAACCACCCAACCACCGCAGCATTGCAACGGATCCAAGCATCCAGCTGCGGACCTGGTTCAGGACGAGGCGTGTCACCAGTAACAAAACCGAGTTTATTTTTAGCCAGCAAGGAGTTGGTTATCTCCGCCACCCAATCACCGTAATTGAAGTCGGTGAGTGCCTCGCTGACAAACATGAGGTTGGGGTGATCCGCGGGATGGAGATGGAGAGGCGACAGTGCGTCGATGCCAGAGGGAACCCCGGTGGTGAGAGCACCAGTATCCAAACTCATTGTGCCGAAGAAGACCAAAAAAAAAAAAAAACGATAGAGAGGGCAGTATGCACGAGCTGAGGACGCGGAACGCTGAGAAGCCCTAGCGAGAAAGACGTGCGGCGCCGGAGAAGAAAACTTTAACCCTAGATCAAGGTTAGCTCTGATACCATGTAGAATTCTGCAATGCGGAATGAAAGCGAACACGAACAACACGAGATTTTACGTGGTATCCCCGTTCATGATTGAACGAGACTAATCCACGGTGAGCTCGAAAGAGCTCACAACTTGAGTTTTATTTCTGATTTTCAATGATCCCATGATCCTACGCCATCTACAAAGCTACTGACCTTTTATAGAAAAGAAAGACTCTCCACTAACGTGGGACACAAGCAACCGAAACAAAGGAGTTCAAAACCAACATGGACAAGGACATGAAGGTTATGGACACGGACACGTAATAGAACGAAAGAAGACTTGGAACCACGAAACTAAATACTAGATTTTTCAATCTTTTTCCTTTGATTTTGTTGATTTATTATATTCTATTTTGGCATTTTAGTTGACAATCCAAGGTAAATTCTAACTTTATTTTTTGTTTGTTGGGCTAAATTAGATGCAGAATCTATTGTTAAATTCTCTAATTAATAGTTGTCAAGCTCCAAATCAAACAAATATTCCTTCATAAATAGTGTGTAGATCATCCTCCTCTGATCCGAGTAAACACATATAAATCTCACTTTTCTTTTTTCCATTTCTTTTAATCATATATGGCCTATAAAAACCTTACAACTATCCTCTTTTTTATATCTTTTATTTTAACTTTGATTTTTGCTAGTCTGAAATTGACATCTTTGTTCGTATTTTTTAATTCATATTTATTGGCATTTTTCATAGTGTTTTTTACTATTCAACTAAAACTAGACCTATCACGCATATTCGGATTACGTGTATATCGGTGTAAATTTTTCCATTTTCAAATTTTTATAAATATAAATGGACTTTTGTGATGAGTATTCCGGCTATTCAACTAGAGTTCCTCTGATCACGCGTATTTAAATCACGTGCGTTTCGACGATCCATTTCATTTTTCAATTGTTATCGATAGAACAAGAGAATCACATTAATTAATTGATTTTAACTAGAAGTTCGTATTTGGATTGGTCCCATTATTTATCTCTTTAGCGATTTTCTAGATCCAAGGACACCCGCAAGGTGGGACAACAGAGTCAATACAGTTGTACTTATTGAAGAACAAGAGAACGTCATTAATTATATTCAAAATGTTTATGTTGTTTCCAGTTGATACCTATTCATTGGCCAACGAGTTACGAGTTCATTCGTATTGTTTTTTTTTTTTTTGCCAAAAGATCATTCGTATTACCGAGAAAACAGCTAGATACAAAAGAGTCACATAGCTGAAAACAACCAAGAAACAAAATTGAACCCCACCAAAGAAGGGAACAACGAAAGGGCTTTTCTTGCCACCAAGTGGGCAACCCTATTAAACTCCCGACCCACAAAAACAACCCGAAACTCCTGGAACAAGTCTTGCAAACATCGAATCTCTTCCAACGGCGCACCCCCATGGACATCAGCTACCTCACCCTCCCGGATCTTCCACAGGACCACTTGGGCGTCACCTGCAAAAGTCATTGAATAGACCCCATATGCCAAGCACCATCGAAGCGCATCCCGGAAGGCCAGTAGCTCCACAAGAGCCTGCTCCGAGATCCCCACATACAATGCTGCCGATGCTGTCACTACCATGCCCGTGGGATCCTGAAGAGCCCAACCTCCCGCTCCATGGGAACCAGACGCCGTAGCTCCATCCACGAACATCACGAACTTACCCAACGGAACATCCTCACGGCCTCTGGTTCCTGAGCCCCGTGCGTAACGGCCAATACCCCGGCTACTAGGTATGTCATCCCACTCCGCAACCTGCAAACGAAATTGAGATAACAACACCGGCACACTGTACTGAGTAAAATCAAAGAACACCCAGTTTTGGGCCTTCCAAATACGCCATAAAAGGGCTACGATATGCATCATGGCCCCCTGATCAAGCTCCCGCCAATCTAGTAACCTGCGCCAATAGTTGGCAAGACACCGCGAGTACTTAGTGCCTCACCAGTTGGCAAGACACCGCGAACCATCTGCAGATGAAGTACCTGTTACACCCCACTCTTTCCAAAAGTCAAAATGACTATTATACCCTTGAGTCAAGTTCCGCCGTACTATTGATGAGGATTAAAAATGTAAACTAATAGTTCAAACGGTGTCGAGTTTCGACATGAAGTGAGAAAGTTATGGAGGTTAACTGGGTTTCGGATTAAACTCACCAGTAATTATGAAATTCCCAAATTAACCCCACACAATTAAACCCTAACCCTACTTCTCACTCGGCTTCACTGGACCTTTAAATACAATCTAAAAGGGGGGGAAAAAGAGAGGAAAAGAGCTAAACCTAATCGTTTCTAGTCTTCACTCGGCAAATGCAACACTGCCGCCTAAGAAGACCTCATCCCTGTTTTGTCCCGTACCAATGGACGAACCCAATGGCCAATGATCGTGCGAGAGAAGGAACAAGAGGGGCAAAGGGAGCTGGGAACCGATACCATTCTACCTGGTGGGAGGTAACGATTCGACGAAGAGTTGGAAGATTATGCCTTGTACCCGAGATCAGAACGGGACGCCTGCTTATTGCAACACGTACAAAGGTGGGGGAAGGATTAAAAAGGGGAGATGAGTCACCTGGGGATGTTTGTCCATTACAGCTGCTAGGGAAGAAGCAATGGGACGGTGCCGATTGGTGGAATGCCTTGTAGGATGTGTTTTCCATGGCATTAAAGAATGGATGTTGCTCATGTGAGGGTGGGGATGTCGCCGATCAAGCATGCAACGAACGAGTGAAGGGAAGTCAATCCCTCGACAGTAGTTGATTCAATTCAATATGCTTCAACATAAGGTGAGTGTAAAGGGGATAAATTCTACGCCTTACGATTTTTTCAAGTATTTGTTTTGAGTATTTTCAAGTATTGAGTTATTCGATGTATGTGCAGTATTTGATTAATGTTTGAGATTGCATGTTTATGGTTGATTATATATGCTTTGTTTGAGCTATGATTTGAAGTGAATGTGGTTGAAATTATGAGTAACTTTGAAAGTTTACGTTTATGAGATATTATTAAAGTTTAAGAAACAAGTCCTTTTTAGGAAGTAACTTACCTTCAAGAAGGTGAAGTCGTTTTAAATGTTTTTAGTCACTAGCGCCAGTCCGTTGCCATTTGAGATTTTCAGATAGAGCAGCAGTTATGCTCTTGAGATATTTAAGTTGAGCAACAGTTATGCTCTTGAGATTTTTAAGATGAGCAGCAGTTATACTCTTGAGAATCGTGGAAGAAGAGCATTCCACGATAAGTTTAAGTTTAAGAAAAGCCCGGATGGCTTCTCATACGTATGAGTTGGCAACCGGACTAGCTAGTGAGGGATCCCCGTGTCAGTCAAGTATTTAAGTCAAGATTTGAGCTTTAAGAGAGGAGAGTAACTTCAACTCCCTCAAAGTTTAAGAGTTAAGATTTTAAGATTGGAAGTACAAACAACTTCCACTAGTTAAAGTTAAGTGTTTAAGTAAAGTACTCAAGTATTAGAAGTATTAAAACGTAAGGGCGTAGACTGACCCATCTCACTCACCAGGAATTAGTAAAGGAATGAGCGAGAACTAGATCGATAGTTGCAGTTAGAGGAGCAGTTAGTGAGCAGCGGGATCGAGAAAGCTGTTCGAGGCAAGCCAGCTAGAGGAGGATAGTACAAGCGTCACTGAAGGTGCTAGAGATCGAATCCGAGCAGATAACAAAGTAGAGTTTTAGTTATTGCTTTACAATTATGAGTAAAGACGGAAGATTAATATTCAGATTTTATGATTGACTTTCGCCCAAGTGTTAGGACTTTGTTTTAAGTAATTACAGTTTATTCTTAGTATTTGTTAAAGTTATTTATGCAAAAAGTTTCGTTTTTTTTTTCAAGTATTTTTTGTTCAGATTTGTTTCACGATTTATCAAGGATATTTTGGTAAAAATAGTACCCGGTCGGGTTTAGGTGTTTCATTTTGGTATCAGATGAGAGCTAAACCTGCATTTTTTTGAATTTGTTTTCTTTGTATATTCTCTCTTACAATACAATCCTTTCACATACTCGCTTTACACGAAGTACATCGCGAACATTATACTCTTAAAAGAACAAGCATAAAGTTTACTGTTTCTTAGAGTCACATCCAAACACTGTTACTCGTTTGCCTCTTGTTCTCGTTTTTTATTGGCCCTTCTTCTGACACGAGCAGGCGTCGAATCGGAGGAGTGGCACTCTCGTAATTAAGGGTTTCCACCACTCATGTCATAGGTGCTCTTTCTGAGATCTTTTTTTTTTTTGATGCGCGCTTTCTTTCTGAGATCTTTGGCTTTCCAATAAAGACTTTTTTCATTGGCTCTCTCTCTTCGTTGCTTTTCTATCCTTCCCCTCCCTCTCGCATACCTCTTCCCAGAATCCCAGCCACCCACTCTCCTCTCTCTCTCTTGAAGAAGAAGAAAATGGAGAGATAGAAGACTCCCATGTCAAGCCAGAAGGAGGAGGAAGGAAGGATCTAATCAAGGCCAGCGATGGCAGCAACGGGAAGGCCGACGATGGCGTCGATGGAAGGTCTGCCATGGACGCCGGCTATGGTTCCGACGACTAAAGTAAGAGTCGTTTTCCTTTTTTGCATATTGCATTTTATGAGATATTTTTCTATTGGTTTGAGTTTTGATTACTTCTTGTTTTGTTCACGGGGTTCTCGATCAGGCAGAGGGAAGTAGAAAGATGTGAACGTCGATGGCGGCAAGGGGAAGGCTGGCTATGGTGGCTACGAAAAGGTCTGCCATGGACGTGAGTGATGGTCCTGCCGATGACTGCTTGGGTCAGAGGTGCTTTCCTTTTTGCATACATGCATTTGAGTTTTTTTTTTTTTTTGGCTTGAGCTCTGATTACTTCGGCCGGAATTGAGAAAATATAGGTAAGGAAGTGAGGTCGTTGGGCAGAGGAATCATGGCTTGTTGCCGGCGGTGGTACACCGGCCGTCTAAGATGAGTTCTTTTATGGATTTAGGTTACTTTTAAGTTTTCGTGAGTTTGGATCCTTAGTTTATTGTTCTCTGCTAATCCTATCCGAAGGTTTCTTATTTACTTTTCGTGATTGACAAGAGCCAGGAAAAGAGGAACTGTCGCTGTTGTATATTTTCGAAGGTAGCAGACGCGACTCACTGCTCTCTAGGTAAGCCTCTTCTTTTTGGATTT